TATTTTAAAAGAGAAGAGCAAAGGTATTAAATATTACTTTACTTCAAATGAACTATTTTAGGACAAAAATTTTGTTTAGATGAATGTTCATGGAATTCAAAATCATGTAAATTATTAGGCCTTTGCTTGATATGGTCTTTGTCCACGGTAATTTCCTCTGAAGCAGAAAATAAATATAAATATTCGTAAGCTTTTCATTTTTACAGAAATTTCTTTTACATTTTCGATTGATTTATTTCCTATTTTTGAGATTTTTAGCTATACTTGTATTGACAGATAAGCACAGTTTTAGTAGATGCAAAAGAACGATTGCCTAACTAGAAAATGATGGACTAAGCTGTTATGGGATATGAACGCCAAATGCCATACTGGCCAGTTGGGCAAGAAAGTAAAAATATAAACGACTAATGGCTTAAGGAAGAAAGGAATAAAGATGTGATTGAAGAATCTTTCCTCAAACTTGATAAATACAAAGGCCGAAGCCTGACTAGATAAGGGGATTTCAATTCAGTGTGAAAATGTATTTTATACTACAACGCGTCCTTCTAGAAAGCCGGTTTAGAAGGCTATTAACGGAAGAGATCTCCAGCTTGTCTATAGCAGAAGGCAGTGGAGCCAATAACGTTTGCCATTCTTAAAATCAGCAAAATAAAAAAACACTATCTGAGTTAACTTACCCTGGGGAATAGTTGCACACGACAAAAACTCCTGCAGAGCTTCCAAAAAGGTTTGGACAAAAGGAAACTCCACATCCAAGTTGTAGTGATTTGGCCCAAACAACCTAAAGCAATAAATAAAAAAATATCCATTTTTATTTAAGCGAACTAAATTCCCGTAAAATAGTGATCAGTTAAGAATATAATGGGTTTAATCTTTATCGTCTGCTGATTCTTCCCATTGCTAGTGTATCAATCTGGTATGCTGGTTTCAGAGCTAAACTGAATCCGCCTATTCCACAAACTGAACTAAAGCAGTTGTGGCCTCCAGAGATGCCATGCAGTGCCTGATCAAGCCGGCCGGGTACCCAAAGTTCAGTTTCTCGCTGATTCCTGTAGCTGGGCCGATCTGTGGGGAAGGCCCGAACAAGTCGCTCCCGTGGCGTGGCAACACTTCCTGTCGGGCATTGGAACGTCATCGGATGCGACTCTAAAGCCG